GTGAGAGCGGGTGCTCATTCGGACTATGGAAGTATCACACTCCTCTTCCAGCGGCCATCACAGCCAGGACTGGAAATCAGGACGCCTGAAGAGACATGGGCCCCGGTGCCCGTCATCCCAGCAGGATACCGTTCGACGACGTTTCCCCCGATTCTCGTCAATATCGGGGACCTGCTATCGTATTGGACGAACGGAATCCTCAAGAGCACGGTGCATCGCGTTATTTTCCCCAAAGACGCTCGGCGAGGAGGAGAGGATCGCTACTCGATAGCATACTTCTCTCATCCCGGCGACGACGTGGAATTGACGCCTGTGCCAAGCAAAACCGTGGCTGCCCATCACTTGAAGGAAGGGGAAGAAGTTGGCTATGGAGGAGGGGCTACGAGTAAAAGGGCACTGACCGCGCAAGAGCATCTGCATAGTCGGTTGAATGCGACATATGACTTCAGGGGAGCGAAAGCGAAGGAAGAGATTGACAGTACTGCCTGAAGTTAGTTCATCGTGGCTCTCGTGGGACAGAGCAGGCCAGAGCAGGCCAGAGCTACGGTGACGAGGCTTCAGTACAGCCTTGCATTGGACCCCTGAAGATCGTTTGTTTGTTCGATGCGGAGTAAAGTTGTACACAGTAATTACATGGATTGTGAGGGCGCAGCTTCACTCTCTCTACTCTCTCGTCCGCCTTCCCTCTCCCTCTCTCTCCGACACAGGTTACATCTTCATTTTGATAAGCTGACGCGACTTCGCAATTTTTCGTTCGTCCTTTGCCTGCGCTAGTCTTTGTATTCGGCGTTGTTTCGTTTTGACGCAGGCCCCGCCCGTTTCCTTCTCCAAGCAAAGTCCAGGATGTCAGGTATGGATGCCCAAAGCCCTCCATCGTTGCCTCTCTCTCATACCAGGTCATAGTCCAGAGGCTCGATGTCTGGGCGAGCAAACATGTCGAATACTGCCAACTGCACATGCTGAAGGACGCTGTCATTGGCGTTGATGCCTCGTATTATCTCAACCTGCGCCTCAATGGGAACAACGAAGAGCCTCTCAAGCACGCCCTCGGCGGGCAACCCTTCACCTTCAAGAGAATGATAGAGGAAGACATTACCTTTCTGCGCCAAAATGGCATCACCCTCATCTTCGTTTTCGACGGCTTGGATTATGTCAACAAGAACCTGCGCACCTCGCAACTGGCGGCGAGCAGGAGAGTGCAGGATGACGCCTGGCACGCCTATCTCAATGGAGACAGCAAGCGGACTGTTGCCGACTTTGGAAAAGCCACATACGATGTTGATACCACGGCCAGAAGGCTGCAGAAGCTACTGGCTGAGAACAACGTGGAATACATGGTTGCGCCGTACAGCGCGACGGCACAGGTGAGTTCGTCGGGGTCAAGATACTGTCGGCAGTGGAAGCTAAACATGGCCAAAGTTGTCCTATCTCCTCGCATTGGAAGACCAGTTCATCGATGCTGTCATGGGTAGTACCGAGTGCTTCCTCTTTGGCATGGATCGTGTGGTGACCGACTTCAACCGGAATGATTCGACCCTGAGCCTGGTCAGCCGGGGGACGTGCGAGGGGATCCTGAAAGCCGACAGAGATTTGCTTCGAGACGCCCAAATCTTGCTTGGAACGTCCTTCACGCCTACCTTTCCCATCCTTGAAGCAATGGCTACTACCAAATCGACGGGTGTCGTTGATGCCATTGCCATGCTCAAGGGTTTTGGAAACAGTGTCATTCAACTCTGCAATTATCACCGCGAAAACTCTCAGGTCCAACATCTCAAGTACGCTGACCGCTACAAAAAGGCCATCATGACCATCAGGCATCATGTTGTTATGGACAAGACGGGCGTGGTGGCCCCGCTCCACTTCGACGAAGCTCCTGGCGATGTCCACGAATTCGTTGGACAACGTCTCCCTGAAGAACTGTTCTTCTACCTGTCCAAAGGCATGCTGGGTCCCGAGATACCCAATTGGCTGACCTCGGGTGAAGTTGTGCTGTCGCTGCCTGGAGGTGTGCTGGACTCGGAGCCTTATCGGAGACTGGTCATTGAACTGCTCAACCCTTTCCGAAGCGAAGCCCTCAAAATCTTGGCCGAGTCTCTGCACTACTACTATCAGTCCAGAGTTATCAAGGTAACCCCGTGGGTCAATCAGGATACCAGCAATTTGACCATCGAGATCCGCTATGTCCCAGCCATGAAGCAGAAACTGGCCCAATGGAAAGTTCGAGGCGCCCAGATCGAATCCATCGTCGGCAAAGGCGAGGTGAGTGATTTTTCCCACCTCATCATTTACCGTTGTTAAACATTGGCAGGACGCTAGCTTGTTTCTGCCATGTCTGCGGTCTCTGAAGGACGCGGCCTTCGCCAAAGAGACCATAACGAAAGACAAGGTCGAACATCCAGCTCTTCGGACTGCCGACGAGGTGGTGGCGAATGCAATCTTTCGGTATCTACAAGTTCGCGGATACGTCGACGACCAGCACAACTTGACCACCTGGGGCAAAGCTTTGGCAGCGGCATTGGAAGTTGCTGATGAAGAGTACACCATTGTCGGCATAGAAATGCTGAGAATGGGCCTCTTCACTGGCAACTTCGCCTCTGGAGACCCGGTGTCCAAGACAGGTTTGTGGAACAATTGCTGTACCTGGACACTGCTAACGGAGCTGCAGATAAGGACCACGATCGGAAGGTCAACACCAACCTCATCTCCAAGATCGCGTGTTTGAGTAGAATTCAGCACAAATCTATGGGCTTTGTTGGGCCTCTTGATAGGCAGTTATTGACGTTTGCCTGGAAGATCACGGCGGTTCGCACTACTCTTCGAGATCTCTTGGAGACAATCTTGACGAGTATGTTCCTCAATGGTGATGTTGATCGCGACCGCGAAGATTGGATTACGCTCATTCAAAAGTATATAAAGCCTTCCCTCGCTCGCGATTCGCATGGCTGACATCGGCTGCAGACTGCCCTTCGCCAGTGACAATGGCTCGGGGAACGGTATCGCTGTCAAGACTTACCTAGATGCAGTCAACGAAGAGCCAGAGGTAACTGAGGCATTGAAAGCCAGCATCAAGCAGCAGGAGGGGAAATACAACTGGTTCGCGCAGCTCCGAGGCAGCGGAACGTTGACAAAGAGTCTTGACCGAGCCTGGAAAGTTTGGGACGCCGTAAGCCACGCTCACAACCCGCCGGTTAGCATACGTGATACTGACTTCCGGTAGCTCTATGCCGCGACTCAAGTGCCGGGTACAGAGGTAAAGGAAGCTAAGCTCTTTTCTGAGGTCAACGAGTGGCTTTCTCCCCGACGATGAAAACCATGTGGGAGTCAGGCAGAACTTCCAAAGTGGTTCGAGAGCCCAACAAGTGTCCCATTCTGACCTTCTCGCTTGGCCAACGCCGCGGCTTCGAGTAAGAGGTGTCTCCTCAGGGTCGCGCCATGACCATATAGCACAAGGAGCTGAGGAGAGGCGGAGCCTTTGCTTTCGAGATGCATGTCTGCAATCACAGGTCAGACTGGCCTGCAGATGGTCGACCGACCTGCTGGGGTCGAGGGCCTAATCACCCTGCGCCACGGAGGCCCTCGCATTTGGGTACGGAAGAACTCTTGTCGAGGTGGCCGTCAGGCAAGCAGTGCCTCGCGGTCAGCCCTGCAAAAGCTTTCTCAAGTCGATCGAGAACCCAACTTTCGGATCATTCGCGGACGGGATGTCAGGTGGGCGAGTCTAGCTAGAGGCAGGTGCTTTCATCGGTCGTCTGCCAGCTCACTGCGCTGCCTGTCTGAAGCCTTCACGACTGGACCAGACCCGCCGAGGTGCAGTAGTCCTGTGTAACAATTGCCAAAGATGACTTCTGCAGCCTACCACCCCGCTTCATCCTCATTTTTTCCAACCGCTAAAGTAAGCCCTCGGAGTTAATAGAGACGCCCAAGAACCAAAGGATCTCACGGGCCACGTGCCACGCGCCACCATGCTAAGGACGATTTGGCAATGTTTCAACGGAGGGGGAAGACGAAGATGGCTCACTTCGCGCGGAGACGAACTGGTCGGACAAGGCTGAGAACTCTCTAGTCACCACCACCACCGACCGCCTCAGACGCGGTCCTCGCGCAGAAGATCGTCGAGGCAGTGCGAAGATGCAGAAAAAGACAGACGAACAACTCCGCGTCAAAGTCCGTGGACGTGGTGCAGATCAATGAATGAAATGGGTGGGACGGAATCGGTGGCCAAGGCGGCGTTGGTTCGTCTGATGAGTGCCATCAAAGGTACATACTGTACGTAGTGTGATAGCATGGTAGTGTGGTAGCGAGGGCTCCTTCTTTTCCAGCATCATTTGTTGTGGCCCGACACGATTCGAGTACAAGCCATCTCACGTACACGGTACATAAGATTGCGCTGGCTGGCTGGCCGCCGACATTGCTCGGACACATTCGGACAGGTATGGTGCTGAAGGGGCTATGGAAGAGATGGCATTCGACAAGAAGGCCGTCGAGGCCGACGCTGCGGTGGTCTTTCCCTAGGGCCATGTTTTGATGGGCTTCCGCAGGTTGTTGGATCGAGCAAGACACCTGGCAGCTGGGATTGTCGGACTGGGGCCCTCGGATCATTCAATTCTCGCTTGGAGTGGGATGCGAGAACTGCGACCGTTGAACGGGACATTCTGGTTACTTGGTACTCCGTACAGCCCTGAGAGCCCCCCATTTTAATCACACTGTAAGCGATTGGCGCGGTGATCTCCTAAACTCCCGTTCGTCGACGCTTCGCCTTACCGAATGCGTGGCTGGCATGCTCCGTAATTGACGGTCCAACGGTTCGGTGTCATCGTACGAGTATCACCCTCACTTATCATTCCGGGCAGTTCGGGACGACCTGGCGCAGTGGCCCTCGTATCTCTATTACACCTGCATACATTCCTTAGCCTGCGGCTCACGACGTCAGCGCCGCGCTCGTGACACAGATATCGTTCGTTAGCTTGCCAAAAAGCAATGTCGTGCCTGGAGATTCCGACATGGTGGACACCCTCTCCTTCTCTCCATCCTCGAGCCTCGAGATCGAGATGGACGACCACGGTTCGGCGTCAAGAGACCAGTCAAGGCAGAAGCTGCTCCAGCACTCGGTGAGCCCTGGTCGAGGATGGCTCGGCGGGGTCGCCAGGCACACGCTGGGGCTGATGCTGCTGCTGTGTGTCGTCTTTCTTTGGACCATGTGCAACTTTTTGGGTAGTGTACGGACGATAACGTCGTCGCCGCAAGCAGGGATCAGCAGGCTGACTTCGGATCCCTAGAGCATATTCGCCGACAGCACCTATGCCAAACCCTTCTTCCTCACCTATCTCAACACGTCGACCTTCATGCTGGCCATGATTCCCAACCTCATCCGCACCGCGTACAGGAGACATCGCGACCGAGGGGACCTGTACGATACCGTTCGCTCAAGCGTGTTACGCACAATCAGCAAGAAAGGCTACAGACCGCTGCCGGATAATGACACCGTACAAGAAGACTCGCAGGGAGACGACAGCGAGTCCGAAATATCCATACACAAGCGACGAACGGCTGATAGATCGACAGTCGGCGACCGCGACTTCGGGTCGCACGACGTGGGAGAAGAGGGCGAAATCCTAGGCATCATCCCGACGGCGCGGCTAGCATTTACATTCTGCATGCTCTGGTTCGGCGCCAACTACTTCGCCATGTCCTGCTTGCAATACACGACCGTGGCATCCACCACGATCCTCACGTCGACGTCAAGCTTCTGGACGCTCCTCATCGGCGCGCTCACGCATACCGAAAAGTTTACGTGGAGGAAACTGTTTGGTGTCTTGATGAGTTTCGCGGGCATACTGTTGATCAGCAAGGTCGATCTATCGGCAAGGACGGATGGAGAGACGGCCCCGACGAGACGAGAAGACACCTTCCCCGACAAACCGGCCGGGGAACTCGCTCTTGGCGATGCCCTCGCCTTGCTGTCGGCCATCCTCTACGGCGTCTACACTGTCATGCTGAAAAAGGCCACCGTGACGGCCCTGCCCCGATCGATCAACATGCCCCTGTTCTTCGGCTTCGTCGGCACGTTCAACTTCATCTTTCTCGCTCCTCTGTTCCCCATTCTGCATTTCACGGGGCTGGAACCGTTTGCGTTCCCGCCCACGCGCCGGATCTGGACGGTTTTGATCATCAACAGCGTGGCGAGCTTTGCGTCGGACATTTGTTGGGCATATGCCATGGTGTTGACCAGTCCATTGTTGGTCACGGTGGGGTTGAGTCTGACGATCCCGCTGTCTCTGGTCGGCGAGATGGTGTTGCAAGGGCATTATGAGGGATGGGTTTATTGGGTCGGCGCGGGAATCGTGGTCGGCAGCTTCTTGTTCATCGACCAGGAAGAGAAGCGGGAGGAAGAGAGCGAAGGGCAATGGCACGAACGGCCGGATATGGGTGTTCGAGACGAGGAAAGAGAAGGCGAGGTTGATCTCGGAGGGCGCTCTACGTCGGCGCTTGGATATGGAGCCGGCGGAACCATGCAATCATCCTAGACTGGGGCGGCTGAGATTCTTTGGATACCACTGTTTGCATTATACATACGTGTACTGTACATCTACATACGGCGTGGTGCAAGTTTGGATAGAAGGATGCAGCATCCAAGCGAGGAAGCGAGCGAGTAGCCTGCAATCACGCACGGATCCGCCGCTTTACGGCACGGTGCAGTCCGCTTGAATTGCTGAAGCCACCGACGACATCCACGTCGCCGTTGGCTTAGATGGTTGAGATGCAGCAGACCACGACGACTTCGTCCACTCGTATACATGGGGCACCATGTCACGTGCCACTTGGACGACTTCTTTCCCTTTCTTCCTCTCTTCGAACTAACGCTGACTTGTGCCACTCCTCCGCGTACGGAGATAGTGACAGGCACACCTTGTCACGAAGGATGGTGCAATTTTGGCCAGCTTTTGTCAAAGAAGCGAGGCCGATGAGAACTTTGCCGGTCACGCCATCATGCTATCATTTGGGGGGAATGTCGACGTGAGGTGGTACTGAGCTCTTGGTTTCCGCGACCATCGACATGAGGTACGGAGTACTAGACTCTTGGTCTTCGCGGTCATCAACATGAGGTAACGCTGGACTCCTGGCATCGTGGCCATCGGCGTGAGGTATCACTAGACTCTTGGTCTCGTGGTCATCGATTTATGCTGATGCTCCCGGCCCCCATCGGACACGATGCTACGGATCAACGTGCCGCGACTGGAGAGATTGTACAAGGATTGTATATGAACCTTGCCACATGGCGGGAGCTCCAGAATGTCTTCTCTTACAAACTCTGGTCCCTTCTGCCGTAGAACGGCGGCGGCGGCTCAATCCGAGCAACCAAAGCCCGAGACAGGAGCTGGACTGGGCGCTGAGACAGAACGATGGTATCTCGCACGATGAACAAGCGGAGCGGGCTGTGTGCTAATCACCCTCTAGGCTCGTCGACGTTGCTGCATACCCTGACGGTAACGAAGACAAACGCGGAATCGGCCTGTTCAGTGCCTTCTTCCTCACGTTCAACCGTATTGTCGAAACCGGTATTTTCGCGACTTCCAGCACTATCTTCTCCCTTTCTGGTACAGTAGCACTGGACTCAGCGTCTTCGTCTGGACTGCAGGGATGATCTTGACGTGGATCTGGCACGCATCACGATAGCATTCCTCATCCATGGATGTACCCTCCATAAGGCCAGCGACTGCACCACCTCATACGTATCATCAAGCTCGTCATTGTCCTCTTGGTTGTCGTCTCCGGGTGGGCGGCTCTCGGCGGCGCCCTGAAAGTTCCGAACCCTCATGACTTCGACAATGCATTTGCTGGAACAACCGGCAGCGCGTCAATCACGGAATTCGCTTCTCGCAAGCGGCGTCACACGTACAAGAACAAGAGCCCAGCGCAGATGAATGCTGAACGAATTGAACACGGGTCCCGCGTCGTCATGGCCCGGTACAATGTCATCCGGAGTCACATCGGATACAGCAACGCCAAACTACGGACTCAACGAGACCAAGAACCCTACCCGCACGCTGAAAGATCGCAGCCCCAGCGGCTATTATCCTCGTTTCCATCGTCTACATGCTTCGTCAACATCGCGCACTTTGCCGCCGTGCCCAAAGAGCAAATCATATCCGCGGGCCGCATCCTCGCGGCCTCGTCCTTCCACAACGTCTTCGCCACAGCATCGAGAGGGCGCTGTCCGTGTTCGTCGCGCTCTCCAGCTTAGGCAACGTCCTTAGCGTCATCTTCTTGCAGGGCAGTCTTGTCGAGACATGGACCGCGAGGGATCCTCCCGTTTTCTCGAACCCCTTCAACTCCCCTCTCGCGGGTCTGTTCGAGTATTGGTGTGTTTCTATGATCATCATACTCGCGCACCCACTGGTGGGTGCGCATAATTTTTTTTTATCTCTGTACAGGAATAAGTTTTCCATCGAGCCTGTAATCCACGTATGATATCCAGAGTGAAGATGAAAGCCAAGCGAAAGGGAAACCAGAAACCACGAACCACGAACCACGAACCACGAACCACGAACCACGAACCATAGTCCACGAAGCTGACGTCGAAGCTAACAATCTCTCTATCTAACACCACAGCGTCATCTCCTGACCTCTCTCCATCGTTGAACAGCGTCATCTCTTTACCTCTCTCCATCTCCATCGTTGAACAGCGTCATCTCTTTACCTCTCTCCATCTCCATCGTTGAAC